AGAATATAACTCTGAATGGGCGTGTTCTCAACTGGTTCAGTTAAAATTGAACTCAGTCCTGGGCTACGCATGTCATTACTTAACAAGGATGTAACCGACCAACACACAGCTGGCCAGTCACGACAAGTGTCTAGCTCATGCTGGTGTCGCTGCAGGATTAAGTAACTTGTTCCTGTAGGGTCAAACGTCTGCATTAAAGCGGAAATCCATTGCTGGGGAACGATATCATTTGTCTCCAGCATGACCGTAAACGCATTGCGCGTACGGCTTAGCGTGTCGAGGTCATGGTTGTTTATAAACTCGACCTGCTTACTGTTGGCATCCCAGTTTGACTTAAGTCGACTGATCTGTCGCTTGTACTTCTGGTTATCCCTGTGGTCTTGTCCACGTTGGGCCTGAAGTAGCTGATCGATGCGCTTTTGCTTAATCGCGATCACATTAGCAAAATATGATACATCATCAGCACGGTACGCATCATGGGCGATTTCCATTTTAATGGTGTAATCGTCGACCGATTTGTTAAGTTTGGTCACCTCGTCAGAGTGGAAATCCTCTGCGGGCTGATGTAATGCTGTGCGATCGAAACGATTAAATTCGACTTTGTTAACACGTTTACGGGGGTGTTTATTACCCCTTGTAAAATCCATGGTCGAGGCTTTTCGGTGCTCTGTCCCTCGGATAGTAGTTGGTAATATAATCTTGGGAGATTCCTACGTCTGGATAACATACCCAGTCTTAACTGGTTTCCGACGATTGGCATCCCAGTTGGGTAAAGGTGGCGGAGTATTTTTACCTGCCTCTGGGTCTATAGGCCGGGTGTCAGAACAGGCGAGTAATAAGCCTGAAGTTCTGGTGGTAGTACCTCGTAAGGTATAGATATGCTAAGCACATCTGGCTCCTCTGCCACAGGTGTAGCGCTCGAGCCTTTACGCTCTTCGGGCGTAATTGCCTGTCAACGTTCTGTCCACTTCTGTAGGGCTTTAGTAATGCCCGGAGAAACATGCTCGCGTAAAAGCTGTGTATGTTTTCCTGATCTATACAATCGATCTACATGTTCAACAGTCAAATCTTTCATAAGGGTGGCTAACTGATTCTTAAAATCAGTGCTTTCAGTAATTAACTTACTTCTGCGCGTTGGTTTAGTGGTCTCGGATGTAGATTCGGGTTTGCCACTTGAGCTTGCCTCCTCTTCTGGTTCCATCATAGGTTCCTCCTGAGATTTGTCTTCGTCCCCTATAATTGGGGACTCCCTTATAATTGGGGACTTTTCCTTCTGAGTTTCGTCAGAAGAATTGGTGTCTCACTCCTTGGCTTCGTAGATGCAAGCTTTGAAATTGAGGCAATAGTTGGCCCTCGGGCTCTGTCTGTGGGAGTAGTCTCCTTGATCGGAGTGGCTACATCCTTATCTGAAGCATAGTCCTGTTGACTACTATTGTCGGAGACAAGTGCTTCGGCTACGGTGCGGTTAAACGCATCGGCAGCGGCGGCGGTTGCTTCTGCGGCGGCAGTAGCTGCGGCGGCGCCAGCGGCTTCTCTCTCTATCTTCTTCTTTTCAGCTCTACGCTTCTTAGAAGGAGTATTGTCTTTCTTGGTCATAATCTTAACTTATGACTGCTAGCTGATCTTTTAAGGACTAGCTTGGACAAGAAAAATTATGTGGTAGTTTATCTCCTTTTACGCTTAAGTAATCTAAGTAATTAATACCCTTGCTAACTTTAAAATGTGTAAGATTCGGTCTATCAAGGCGATATTAATGCCTTAGAGTAATTAAACGCGTAGGTAAAATCTAAGTATCGTGAAAATTCAAAGTAAATAAACGAAACGAGACTTTTAGTAAAGTTAGGTAGGCCTCGTGAAAACAGCAATACTCTGAGGGATTGTGAGGCTGAGACATTGCCTATATATAATCCTCTCAGTACTGTTTTCGCCGAAGGGATTTTATTTAGTGTTTCGTTGTCGCTCTATTAGAAACTATGGTACGTTTCGTTGGGGCGAATCAGAGAGACTCATAAAATCCTATCTTTAGAAAAATAAAATAAAAAAATAAAATACTCTTGATGTCCTTAGTTGTTGTATTAACCAATAACTTGTCACTTATCAAGAATTACCGACTTAGCCTTTATCAGACTGGCACATCTGGTTGGCTGATCGGAGGATCAACTAGGTAACGTTAATAGTCCCTAGAGACCTATATTCGGTTGAACCGTCTCGCTACCGAAGTATTCAGATATAAATAAATTTGGAAAGTAAACATAGTTCTATTAATAGAACTAGACCAAATCTTATGTTTGGTATTTTACTAGGGCCTTTTAATGGCCTTGTCCAAATATCTTATATGTAAAATGGAAAAGGTATTAATTAGTAAAACCGTTAAAAACCATTTAGGAAACTTAAGTTCCTCGTACTATTAAGAGTACGTTTATAGTTTACGTACTGCTTACGAGTACGTTTATAACATAGAGTCTAATGTGGAGGCCCGGCTATTACAGTCAAATGTCTTCGTAATTTTTTCCGTATACTTGTTGGTAATGTGATGGAGTGCCGGTAGGGTAGTGTCCTGTAACTGGTTCAACCGCTAAGTCCAGGGTCATTAATGATCGCCTGGGCTTCAGGTAGCGCATCAGTAGAGTTGGCAAACGGAAGTGGCGACGACCAAAATACACACTGAAAGATACACTCTTAAGTTGGCGAACATCGTGAAAAGAAGTCGTTCATCCCACCTCAAAGGCACTGCTTCACAACACTGTCTAACAGACCGGTTGGGGTCAGTACAGCGGTGACACCTTATGCAGTATATCCACTTAATGGACTATGAGTTTCACTATACTGTCAGTGAATTTGGTGCTTGTGTCTGTCTGGATCAGTCGCGGGAAACTATGTTTGCCAAAAAAAAATTATATCGAACGTCTGTACCGTCGTGTCTTTTATCTTATCAGGTGTCGCTCTAGAGAGTGAGTAACCTGTAGCGATATCTAACGCGTAAAGGATATATTTGTTCACCTCTGTGACTCGAGTGGCACAGGAATGTAATCGACCCCTATGTGATCCCATGGGTAGCGCGCGCCAATGCTGATCATCGGATGGAAACTTTTACGCAGCGTGTTCTGACCAAGGCATGTACCACATTGTGGCTTGACTTCAGTCGCTAATTCGAGGGCGCCAAGCCACACATGTCCGTTATGTCGGAGTTGTTCATGAGTGAGCTGTGTGCGACGCAGTTGCTCTTCTGGTGTCGCTTGGGCAAATGTGGGTTAGCCCTCTGTTGCGGCCATGGCCACCGATATATTGCGAGCAGTGTCTGTACACATTGTGTAGATGATGCGACGAGGCTCTGCATACCCAAGTCGCTGCGAGAACGCCGAACTTATCTTATCCCTTTTGGGTTGACCTACTTTTACTACTACAGTATGGCCCCATAATGTCTTGCCACATGAGTACTTGGCATACTTCAAAAAGGTATGTGGGGTACGAGGCACTATCACCGGTTCTGAATGCAATAACTGTTCGAATAAATCAAACGACGGAGCTCTCGGTAACCAAGGCAGACAGACTGTTGCCCTTACCCCGTCTGATTTGACCTTCCGAAGCATCTCATGTATTTTCTCACGTGTAGGATTCAACCGGTTACCTGGGACCAGTCATATGCGAACGCTCCTTCCCTGACATTCTTCGTCCAAAACCGATGTAGTTAAGCATTGGTTAGGTCTGTCCGCAAAGATGTTGATGTTTTTCGGTACGAAATGTTGTTGAGCTTGTTCAAAGTAGCTGGGAGAAACTGCAAACAGCAATCTATGTACAGTTGCAACTTCAAGTTCATCTCTCTCCGCTGTACTCTCGTGGACTCTGCACAACATGCCTGGCAACACATTCTTCTCCCCTGGTATGTGTGATATTGTGAGGTGAAACGGTGCAATAATGTGGTGCCACCTCGCATAGGATTAAGTTTGAGTTGTGTGTTCATATACACCAGGGCCTTGTGGTATGTGAAGTCTGCAAAACGTTGTCCGTCGAGGTAATCCCTGGCATTACACTAAAGTCGGTAGCTCTGTTGCTGTAACGTAGTTCTGTTGCGCATGGCTCACCGTCGTGCTGAAGAACACTAAGTATTGCTTCTTCCCGTTGACCCATTGGAACAATGCTCCTCCCAAACCGTGTTCGCTTGCATCGGTTTCTAAGTTTAATGGTATATCATCTACAGGGAAGTGCAATGCGACTGCATTGATCACTGCGCTCTTTATTGCTTGCCACGCGTGTGCATGCCCCGATCAATTCATTTGCCTTCAGTTTACAGCATTCTCGTAAAGGTGTCCATGTGTTCGCGAAGTTAGGAAGGTGCTCATAAAAGTAGTTCGCCAATCCTAAGGCAAAAGCGATATCCTTGTGCCGTAGTGGGGTAGGTCAGTCGAGTTATTCGCCCTCGAGACGACATCATGCGATGTCGGCAATATGCATTCGCCTCGAAGTCTAGTGCTAAACGGTGGCGTGCGTCGGTAGGCTCAGTGGTGTTGGGTGCTTGACGGCGTGGGATTGGTTCGAGGAGCTCGTCAAGTTCTGTAAGGTCGATCGGTGCGAGAGACGATAAAATACCGCCTATGTAAAGGTCCAGCCCCTTCAACATGTCTGGTCTCACTATGATAGCTATTACCGTAGGTAGGCTCATAAGTCCGAGTAAACTGTCCATCACCTGTGTTCCGTATCGAATGGGCAACACTTCCGTCGTCCCCAGTCGAGGAGTTCGTACCGCCTTGTCAGCTGGATAGATGAATGAACCAGGTGGTGCTGGAGCTATTGGGCGGCCAATACAAAAGGTCTTCGGATATCTGTGAGACGCAACTTCTGTTTGCTCCTGTGTCTATCAAGGCTATGAACGTGCGTTCATTGACTTGCACTTGAATATAGGCTCGGCTATCACATGACAGTAATGGATCCTTTATTGCCATGACTGCATCGATAGTGTTTACAAACGTCAAGCTCATACCTGACTCAGACACCCTCACTTCTCATTCACGCTCGGCGACTGGCTCCCATCCCCCATGGTTGTTCTCTGGCGCCGGTGCCTCGTTGCTATAATCATCCGTGAGTATCGCGTTGATGTGTGCGTCGGTAGCTTTGAGTAGAGGTGCGAAGTCGTCGTCCTGTGTTATCGTGTTGTCCTGTAGTTCGGAGATGTGTCAGTTGGCAGAAAAATCTTTGTCTGGGTTGTTGTTCTGCCCTTGTCTTGAGGTAAGGTTGATGCAGGTTGCTGTGCGGCCTGTGTATCTCTCTGCGGAAGGTTCTGGTCACATTGGCGTGCACGGCTGTCGTTACCCTCTGGATGTGTTGCTCGACAATGATGAGAGCGTGGGATGTGTCGTGTACCCGGTGGTGCCTGTGATCGACAACCGACACATATATTACTGTCCTTGTCTTGAGGTAAAGGTTGATGCAGGTTGCTGTGTGGGCTGTGTATCTCTCTGCTGAAGGTTCTGGTTGTATTGGCGTGCACGACTGTCGTTACCCCCTGGATGTGTTGCTCGACAATGATGAGAGCGTGGGATGTGTCGTGTACCCGGTGGTGCCTGTGATCGACAGCCGACACATGTAGTAGTTGTCGTTGCTTGGAGTCGTTGTGCCCAGTTCTGCGTCTGCCTCTGTGTAGCACCGTCTGAAGGTTCGGGTGACTGTGTGTATAGTCGCGGGCTCCGTTGGTCGTCACGTCCCTATTATCACGGTTTTGGAGTCGAGCTGTTGTACGTTGCTGGGCATCCTGTACGTCGGGACTCGATAGTTGCAGTAGCTCGTGTGTCTCCATTAATTGCCACTTCAGATGTAGTTGGAGAGTCCGTTCGTACGTGCGACCTCTAACAACAGTACGATGCAGTGGTTCAACAGGTTTTGTTGAACGTCTGTGTCAGATTGACAACGTCCATGTACCCGTCTATGGTTTTCCCTGAGCGGAGTCATTTGTTCCATGATGAGAGTGTGCATGTTCCTACTGTGGCCTTTGGCTAGCTTGCGAAATGAGGGGTAGACTGTTGCCTGCGTCTCATTCAAACACGCCTGCTTTATTTGCAACGATGGGATTCACATCTTCAAACGTTCAGAGTTGTCTCGTATGTAGTCTAGTGTTGATTTCTCTGTTTTGAAGTGAGATAATACTTCGCGGAACCATGTAAGGCTCCAACTCTCGTCCAGGCCGGCGATTTGTGCATACTTGAAGGCTTATAGAAGTGTATCTCTCGTGTTGCGTTCCATATTATCATGCAGGTGATATCTGTTTGATGATCAATTGATCCAGGTGTGATGGCACTGGACGTATCTCGACTAGCTTGGACTCGAGTGTAGCCCGGAGTGTTGTTTCTATTGTTCCCCGGAGAGCATTAGCTCGAGCCATGTTGTCATATTTGTTGCTTGACATAGTCGAAGTATGCGTACATGGAGTGATTGACGACTCTTCTCGGTACTCTCTGGTGTGAGTAGAGGTGCGGTGGTTTCCTTCCCTTGCTGCTTGTAAGTGTGCACATAATCACTAGTCGCTTGAAAGACTTCCTCTGCTGATGCTTGCGAAAGTTCGTGTTCAATCGGTCGTGCACGTTCTTCAGAGCTTTCTTTAGCATCTAGGAACCAGATTATCAAAAAGACAATCCCAATTCCAAAATCTAGAATCATCAAATTTTGAGTTTTGGAATTAGGACTGCAATATTCCTGGTATTAAAGTCATCAAAAATATTAGCGGTAGAACCGGTAAGCTATACCGGGACACCGCGTGTGAGAGAAACACTCAAATAGAAAACCTGAGCCTAGTGAATTAGAACACACAAATAAAGACTCAGTTCGAGTTTCTCAGACTATGGACTTTTCCTAGCTGAGATAACCGAATTTCTTTGGCTCGTACCTTTCAGCTACTCTCCATACTCTAATTTTTTTTTACAATATCATTACTTAGATAAGTCAAGTAACTTACACTTAACAAAGTAAAATAGAAGTGGAGTATACTACCAAAGTATCAAAGAAACTTTATATTGAACAAGCTTTATTCCAAAGAAGGGATACTAGAAGAAGCCTCAACAAGGAACCAAGGAAGCGACGTGTTCCACCGGACAGACGTGTTCCCACCAGCTAGCAGGTATTGGTAGCAAAGGACCCAACAAGAAGTCAGTAGAGGAAGCAAAGACCAAGCCACTACTCACTAGCATAAACCAAGGTAGAACAAACCCAGGTAACAGTATCGTGTTGAGGCGTGACGTTCTATATAGCCAAGGTGAACATATAGAGAGAAGAACAAATAAGTGTCAAATTTAAGGCACACGCTAGTGAAAATTGATAAGCTGTCACAGTGATTTGTTTATCAATGTTGGGGATTTTTGGGATATTTCAAATAAGAAAACATCCCGACGTTAGGACTCCCAAGAAGAACATCACTACACTTCAGCAGGATACCTCTAGACAAGTAGCAATAGCACAGTACATGGTAAAGAGACCAATTAACAAACTGTGGCTCAATTAGAGCAGTCCAATGAGACATGCAAGCGTCAGAAACGAACATCATCATGGACAGATAGATCATTTCAACGTGCACATAACCAATAACACAATAAGAGGGTCAGCATTAGGCTGGACACACCAATATAACACTATGCAACAGCTATATGGAATGGCTAGTATCAACTAGACAATTCACAAGAAGCATCTTTAAGCCTCAAGTGATATCTGAGATCAGAGGATCCTTATTGTTATAGACAAGAAGTATCATTTTAGTCACAAGTAGTTTCTAAGATGAAAAGATTCTTAATAGCTAAGCATACGAGAGCGACACTCAATCACAGAGTAAAGCCAGACCAGACCATACAAGATCACACTTGCAATCAGACAAGACCATACTTGTCTAAATCAGACAAGGACGACGAGATCACACACGATCGTACTAATTGACTAGATCACTAGTACACACATCAAACCCAAACAAAGGTGACTACACACAAGGCTTAGCATACACACCACAACACTGCGGGTGAGACCAGAAGGCTAATGCACACAACCAGAACAAGGAGTATGTGTGAAATTAAGGATTTAGACCTGAAAGCACACCATCAGGACATGCGAGAACGAAATTGAACTCAAGACAAGACATAACATCGAGTGCGTCTCAAAATAGCACACAACCACACACCGAAGACCTGATCAAGTATAATTAGTACCCAAGAAAAAAACGATCAAGAAAGGAAGGAAGTGATGTACACATGCGAAATGAGATCTAGCAAAACATATCAATAAACACAAAGTATATTTTATGGAACAATACTGCCCACAAAGGTTGATAAAACAACACACGAACACACCCCATCAACCTGATCGAGTACAATTAGTACTCAAATAAAGATCAAGACATGGCAACGATGAGGTACTCATGTTGAATGAGTTCGATCAGATCACACTCGTAAAGACATAAAAGACATAACACAAACACTAGCACTGGCTGCACAAGAGGAACAAGGTCCCAACGCAGATCACTGAGCAGAAATAGAACACTCGGCCAAGTGCATGTCAGAACATAATCGCAAGTAGCAAAGTTCACACGATACACACGACACAAAGTGATCAGATCACACGCTACCAACACACATGCGCACATCAGCACGATATACACGATATAAAGTGATCAGATGATACGCTATCAAACCACAGGCGCATAGTAGTCGGATACGAAGATATAAATATCAATAAGATTGCAGGATCGCGTATCATCGCAAAAGAGACTGAAATCTCGCGTCAAAGCGATGACTAAGCAGTAACAGACTCTATAATTACAACAACACAGATGTGAACACATTTGTGCCAAGCATCTGAAAAATAAAGAATCTCCTGTGTAGCAACACACACACGCAACACAGGAACACGATCAACAGGCGCTCCTAGGACTGAACATCACGAAAAAGTCAAGACGACTGAGATCAACAGTGAATCCTGCACAGCAGAACAACTTGCTACAGGACGAGAACATTACACGAGTCCAGAACATAAAGGTGGTCGTAAATATCAAGTAAGTTCGGTACAACACAGAACATCTCAGATCGCAGTGACGCCATCACAGTTCGGTACAGAACCGAACTTCCTCGGTTCCGTCAACAGGACCGAACTTTCCCGGTGACGTCACTAAGACCGAACAACTCATTATGATCACACATGAGAAAGGGCGGAAGCAAACATGATTGACCTGGCTGACCGGCTCAATGTAAAAACTGATGAAGAAACGTTGTTAATAAATGCAAGTAATATAAGTTACCAACCTTTATCCTTACTTCCTGCACCACGAGACCAACGATTACACATTGACAAACAGATTAATGGCAGTACATAACGCTCGTGCATGGACAAAAGTATAGTAGCTGAACTATACCTCTTAGTCAGATCGCAACCGGAATATATACAATTAGCACAACGCATGGGTCAACCCAAGAATGTGACATTAATTATGGAGGAAGGAAAACCTCTCAGTGTTTTGAAGTGTTGGACCTCCCTAACAAGAAGGCACCAAAACTTCTCGGTATGGACACCCTACCATACATAGGTATATACATAGCAGGATTAATCAATACATTTATACCAACAGATGCAAAATGGGAATCACTCCTCAGGCCACATGAAGAGGACCCTGAGCATGAACAAGAAAGTTTTAGAGAGTCACTTGTAGAACTCTTAGACATAAATGCGAACATACCTCCTGACATACATGGCAACCTACCAGGCTCTACAGTCACAGTACCTGCAAATAAAACTAATGTCAGACAAATGAGGCACGCCAAAGTCAGCTTTGTACCTCACAAGTATATTCCGCAAACGGACGAGAATGTACGGAAGTGACTTACAGATGAACACATATGCAAACGAAGTACACCAACAACAGTGAATCTACCTTTGTTATCAACAGGTGAGAGCGACCATCCAGGTCTCCCCAAAAGAGTTAGAACATGTTTAGACTTACGCGTGATCAATTACCAATACAAACAAGATAAGTTTGTGCTACCAAAAAAAAGAAGAAGTCCTGCACAACCTACAAGGAGCACCATTCTTTTCCGAGTTGGATCTCACAGGAAGGTTCCACCATTGTCGGAACATATATTTGTTTAACGAAGTAACTTTATTTTCATAATACATACTGGCTATATAGTATAATAATTACCATGTGCCTTTTTAAGATATTATTAAAATTATTCAGCTAAAATATTCGCCGAAATATATTTTGGGCTTAAAGGGTTTTTAGGGTTTGAGTCTTATAAGTTCGTCTCAACACTCTCCTGAATTGGAAGCGAAAGGACAGAGTATATACATAGTTGCATATATGTTGGGTTGGTAAAGAACTCCCGTCATAGTATAAATTTGGTTGATAGGTAATATGTAAGAATATATAATGGTGGCACGTTTTTCATCTTATGCCTCCTAAGGGGTAAGTTTTTCCCTTTACAAAACACTTTCTACTTCTACGCAGGCTATGAAGCACAAAGTTGGGGGCTGTAGCATCTAGGGACCAGATTATCAAAAAGCCAATCCCAACCCCAAAACCTCAGAATTGTCAAATATTGAGTTCTGGAATTAGGATTGAAATATTTCTGATATTAGAGTCATCAGAAATATTAGCGGTAGAACCGGTAAACTATACCGGGACATCGCGTGAGAGAGAAACACTGAAGTAGAAAACCTGAGTCTAGTGAATTAGAAAACACAAATAAAGACTCAGTTCGGTTCTCTCAGACTTTGGACTTTTCCTAGCTGAGATAACCGTACTTGAGAAGAGGACTATTATATCCTTTGACTCCTCCCTTTCAGCTACTCTCCATACTCTACATTTTCCCCCATGTCGATTTTGCTTCGCTAAAACCTGCTTGCGCGCACAATCCTGGAGTGGTTGGCCATCATCCAAAGACAGCTGACCCTCCGATACTGGTGATTCATACCCGATTCCACGATGTGGCCGAGTGGGGCCGTGGATTTGACACCGGACGCCCACGCTTTCGCGAGCTATTATTCGTCTCTGTAGTAGGTATGGGCCGCACTGGAGAAGTACGTTGCAGACGTTGTTCGTATTTGTCAGGCAGGGGCCTCTGTTGCGCCATCAACTGTGTCAGTTTCTGTGCAGAATACTGGTCAAGCACGTTACCTTTGTTGTTGCGTCGATGATGACGTCTGCGCTTGCCTGATGGGAGGCATGGTTGACTGTTGCTTGGTTTGCTGTTTCCACCTGGGTAGGTGCTTGCCGTATTGGAGACTGCTGGTCTGAAAATGACTGCTAGTCTGAGGACGATGAGCCGGAATTCTCCAAAGACGAACGAAGACAGACCGTTACTAGCTACATTTTTACCAGTAACAATATGATCGTGATCCGCACGTAGGTCGGAGCACTGCCTAATGCGACGTGATTCTCATGGAGGTTAGGCTCGGCTCCGTGTGCTCGTGGCGTCTACTTACGGTCAAGGAACCCTTGATTCACCTGATTATGTTCGTCCGGATCCTTCTCAGGTTGCTGGTTGATGTGGTCCGGATTGGGCTGGCGACGCTTAGTGCCGCGCCGGTCGATGTCGTCTTCCTTGCGGCGCTCAGGGTTAACGTGCTGCTGTCGACGACTTTGTCGGGAGTCAGACATGATGCAGAAAGTTGATTTCAATTGGAGTCTTAGAAATGTGTGAGATCGAACTATAGGCGGACTTAAAATATATCGCCCCACCACATACACACCCTTTTCAAACCTAGAGCTCGATCAACGAATAAACCGGAACCCTTGATTCGCCTGATTATGTTCGTCCGGATCTTTCTCAGGTTGCTGA